TTAAAATTTTTTAAAGCCCGGGGTATAAACAAATTCAGATTTTTTCATACAGCTACTTATCAATTAGTTATCAATTAGTACCGTGCTTATTTAAATATATTTTTTTTCTTGTAGTTTATCATGCAATCTACTTAGAAGAAATGGCAGCCTCAGAAGTCACACGCAAGCTTGCTTTGGCATTTAATATTCCTTTGCATCAGATCAACCAGGTTTACAGACAGGGTCCCACAGGTATCCACATTCTTGTTAGTGATCAGGTAATGGAAATTTTATTTTCTTGACAAATTGTACTTACGAATTAAATAGAATGGAGGGTTTTCTTAAGCTTGCTTCTTTATTACTGTTTTTTCTGTTCGATAATGCAACCTAGTATTTTCAGACATTGAGTATTTTTTCCTTTACATTAAAATGAGCAGTAGGATCCTTTAAATGTCACTCTTCCTCTACCTGAATAAACTCAAATTATGAGAAGAGAAGGGCAACTGGTCTATATAGTTCTGACATGCCACAGTAATTACTTAGTATGTATTTCTTTTGAACATGCCCAAAGGCAGGGAGCATTTAAATACTGTTGAACTCGGCTTATTCAAGCATCTGCTACACATATTTAGAGTTCCAAAAACACAGCCAACAGTAATAGGGCTCCCAACTGGTTGTCACATGATTAACAAGCAGTATTTTGACAGTAATGTATTTTCATTTAATTTGGTATATGCTTGTCACTTGCTGAATAAAACCAAAAATACGCAACTGCTTATAAAAGGCTGTGTTGAATATCCGGTGTCTTTATTTTTTGCATTGGTCATACTCGGGTCACACTCAAAACTTCTTTTTTTTTTTTCAGATGGTTCAAAACTTTCAAGATGAGAGTTGTTTCTTATTCACCACAATAAAAGGTACGGTGTCTTTTCTGACAGTCTAAAACATGATTGTTTATTCTACCAAGGAGCCACCTTTAAAGCAGAGTACTATTCTAGTAAAACTTCACCAAGCAAAGAGTAATGGCAGATCCAGTGAAGGCTGACTTGCGAAATAAAACAAAACAAAAATCTGCATACAGTAGTGGCCGAAAATATCCATGAGTTCCTCCTCTCTTAGCCAGGCCTTTCAGCCTCTGCGTAGCACCTCAGTCCTTTCTCCAAGCTTTCGGTTCAGAACCAGTGCAGCACTCGGTAACAAACCTCATTTAAAGTTCAGTCAACCATCACCAAACAGTGCATGCTGTTAGTAATAGTCGAGAATGGTGATGTTTCAGAATAATTAAAAAAAAAATAATAATCCTGGAAGTAGTACCTCTGAAATGGTAACCGAGTCCCGACAGTTGGCAGAACTGAGTATAAAATCCTGTTCTCTCATTGCTAGTAAATAATCATCTTCAGTAGGTTGTTGCTGTAGGCAGGACGTGGCTGTTTTGCTGGGAAGGCTACAGCGCGTTTCCTCTGCCTAACAAAGACTCGCTCTCGTAAGGCCGTTGTTTAGCATCGACTAGTAGACTTGAACGGGAGCATTCACAGAACAAACTCCTCCGCCCCAGCCCATGCTGTCAAATGGGCGGAATCATCTTAGTTGTACGCATGCGGTGCAGCTGGGATGCAGCCAACCTTGGGCCACAAACATTGTTGTTCAGGCTTCCTCAATGTGTGTTGTGAGTCCCCCCCTTGAAACACCAGGTGTTTGAGATGAATCCCACGCCTTCCTAGGAGTCCAGTTTATTTCTGGTAAAAGGTGCCAGGAAATTGCTATAACCAGTGGACAAGTTTGACTCCGTGCAAATTTTACCTACAGAAACGGTCCCAACTTTGAAGATCCAATTACAAATTGTCAGTTGTAACGTTTTTGTTCAGCACAAGTAGGAGCTTTTTAAAAGCTCTGTTTTTCCTGTAGATGAGCTGTATCTTTAAAGTCTGCTTCACTTTATCAGCATCCTAACTTGAAACTAAGTGTTCTGTGTCGCGTACAATCTATTCACATGGTTAGTGATTGTTAGAGTCCCATTCATCTCAGTTGTTAAGCCTTTTGGTGGTACTGCTAGCTTCTAAGCATAAAATCCACAGGTGGTGGTTTTTTATTAACACTATTTCCATTTGGCTTTCTAGTTCAAGGCTGAGCATCACAAAAGAGATGATTAAAAACATACGCTAAGGATTTATATTGGTCTTGCAGAAGTTAACTTCCTTCTATGATATTAACTGTCACTGTCAAATGAGGTGGGTTTAATGTGTAGTAGGAAGAGTTCAGAAATAACTGCAAACCGAAGAGATTTTAAGAAGTTAGTTATTCTTCAAGCGTTTAGTCTGACTAGCAGGCTACTGATACTTCGCATGTTTCAAGTTTAATAGTTCAGAGTAGTAACGAACTACTTCTACACAGTAAAAACCAAGTCCATGCTTTGATGTTTTGGTGCGTTGGCTCGTCTATTTATGGTTCTGACACTTCTTTTCTTTTTCAGCTGAAAATGGTGAAGGCTTCCATATAATTTTGAAGTGATGTCACACAACTGCTAGACTGATACTCCAACGCAGAATGAAGTCCTGCCTAAAGCTTATGAAGATCATCCAAAACCTTAGGATCTAACTTCACCGTATAAGATGTTTCATATTGAAAACACAAAATGACCTTTCTAATGAGCTGTTTGATAGGTGAACTTTCTTATCACTGCCATAGCTAAGTGTCCTCATGAGAGGTATAATGCCATGACAGCTTATGTACAGGCATGGAAGACAATGTAAGCAAAGGTGCTTGCCCTTTACTGAACCAAGGCAAATTACGGCCAGTAGATACAGTTTCTAGAAGCAAAGCACTGTTGCTTTTCTATTCTCTGTATCCAGTTGGAGATGAATGTAAACTCATTTTGGGGCATTTACCTTTCTGTGCCAGTTTGTCTATTACGTGCTTGTACCTTATGCTGGTTTTATTTTTTTGATGTTAGCAGAGCACATATTAATCCGTGTGGAGATGAGTAGTTCAGCTGATCGTGATCAGGTTGTCGGGTCTTCGAGAGTAAAGCTGTCAAAACAGCTTCCCGTGTAAATTGTGTATAAGAGTGTATGTAAGAAGTGTAAATGCCAGAACAGGGCTTTTAAGAAGCCCTAGACAGATGCAATATATGCATGCAGCAAACTGCATTATCAATAGTACCTTATTGGAGGGATTAATATAAATCCTATGGGGTACCAAGTAATTGTGTTTTGCTTTAACAAATTTAATGGAAAAGAATTGCCTATGCATCCTTTATGTTTAGTTTCCTAGGTTCTCTGCGGAGCACTGCTGCAGTTTAACTCTTTGCTCGTAAAATTGTGGGTTTAAAAATACTAGCAGTGAGAGGTGGATTTTTATGACCGACTTAGTGGAATTATGCTGATGAGGGAAGATGACCCACTGGCACCACGGGGCTGTCATAGCTTTCAGCAACATCAAGTAAATTGCTTAAGAAACACTAAACATACATCGTTTTAGTCTCCTCACCAGCAGGTAGATGCCTTGCTGTAGTTGCTATTATGGACAAGTATCTTTCTTACCTTTTCTGTTGACCTTTCTTCCCCCTCCGATCCATACCCTACAGCTGTTACAGTGCCTCTTCCCTATGACCAAATATTTACTTTTCTTTGAAACAGGCAATGTGCTTTTTCAATATTTTGGGTATTTTTTGCAGAGACACGGCACAGCATTTCCTATGTTAACATTAAGTTTCAACTGGTTAGGTACTTAGAGGGGACCACTTCACAAGGTATTAAGTGACAGTTTCACAGCTGTTGTTTTGTGCCTTTGAAAAGTTCCACCTTCATCTCTGGCTTAAAAGCTTGGGAATAGTTTGCTTTTTCTGCTGCAGTGTTCAAGGTAAACGACGACTACAGCATGTAAAAAAGCAACTTTGATTTTTTTTCGTTCCCTCTTTCATAACTGGCTCGAGTGCTTAGCAGAAAAGCTCTTAAAAGCTGTAGCATTTTGAAAATTTAAATTCATCAAAGCTAGAGTTTCTTTCCTATTTTTGTTTCTTCTGCACTGAAAGTAAAATTTTATGTACTTAAACATTTCTGCCTATAAGTTGTTCATCTTTGGGTATTGTTTGGTCCTGGTATTTTCTTGAACTGACACACTTGTGTCTTTTCAGCTCACACCGTATTCAAATCCAAACGTTTTATAAAAGTGGAAAAATCCTTGATTGGAAAGTATCCAAATATCTAATTTTAAAGAATATTGAAAGTTGTACAGTAGTTTGTCCAGCTCACTTGAAATTGGAATTAAATTATGGCACCAGCAAATCGCTTTTGTTTTTTAATAAGATGTACACATTTCAATTTAAGTATAATAAATGTTTTTCAATAATTTTGTAAATGTGCTTTCTTTTTTTTACTTCCCCACAACCAGTAAATGTGCTTTCTTTTTTTTACTTCCCCCCCCACACACACACATTAGCAATACTTCTGTGGTTAAGATTTAGATTAACTGCGAGACCTACCCTAGCAATAATGGTAGGTAAAGGTAAATAATGGAAGCAAGCCAGCTCTGTAGTTTATCCTGCACCCGACACACGCACGTAGGTCTTCTGCTCCTAATAGAAAACTTAGTTAAACTTGAAATAATTGAAACAAATTCAAATTTGACATCAGCTGATTGTTTATTTAAGAGTCCTATATCAGAGTAGGTTCCATTTGGTTTTGTACATCTTTAATGTGATAGACTTACATTATGTTCTTAGAAAAAAAAATGAGCCAACAAAAGGCAACACATCTTGACATACTGGTACCAGTGGCTTTCCTGGTACAGTTGAGAATAAAATTTGCTTAAAACTCTCCATTACAGCAGTATCTTAATGGAACTCTAAGTATGATTGTAACAACACTCCTCCACTTCTGTGCAAAACAAGCCCTGATTGGCTTATTTTGTAGTAGTAAAGAAATGCATGTACTGCACTCCGATCTGTCATTTATCCTCTAAGTTGAGACCTTGTCCCCATCGTCTGTGAATGTGTGAAGCACGAACACAACACAGCCGCTGTTGTCCATAAAAGTCTCTCTTCTAATGTTCACACTCCTCTTAAAAAGTAGCTTAAAATTTTGAGGGGAAATTGCAGTACTATCCCATAGCAGCTTCTCCAACTGCTTTTTAAGCCAGTATTTCTATTAGTTTTCAGTAAACACACAGGCCCTGAACTCTTAAAACATACACACACACACACACAATCACTCTTACACAAAAAAGCTTTCTGAACTGTTGAGTAGTTTATCTCAGATAATTAAGTTGCTTAACATAAAAAAGTTTATTTATCTAACCCTCTATAGCACTGAAAAACTAAGGATGAAAGCATGGCCTGAAGAGTTAATACATAGATTTTATTATTATTATTATCATCACTCAGAAGTTGACAGCTTCTTAAATAACCCAAATGTGAAGAGTTTGGCTTTCTACATTTGAAAACCACAGGTTTGGTTTGGTTCAACTCCTGCCTGCAGATTTATTTGCCCAGCTGCTTGCTGTGTCCCTAAAACGGGTGGGACAAACAGCTTGAACTGAATTCCTCGCTCCATCACAGTTCCTGTAACTGAACCTGGTTTCCATTCTTCGTCTGTAGAAAAGCATGAAGAATACACCCCTCTTCCTAGAGCCGCTGCATCCCTTTCCTTACAAACTGAGGAGGTAACTGAGGACACAGAGGAATGGCATTATAGTAAGCACCACACACGAGTGTGGCAGCCAATTGCAGTAGAGTGCACACGCTCTACCAGAGTGGATTTCTTACCCCTTTTAAAGGCCGATGGCATTAGGCATAAAACGTGCTTCAGTGACAGGCAAGCTTTATACTAATACATAGTTCAACTGAACCAAGTTCAAAAACTTGAAAACTCGTGTTTCTATTTATATAGTTAACTTGAGGTACTATCTTACCTTTTGACATTACCTATTATGTCCTGTTACATAATTAAATATGAAGCTGAATCATGAAAAAGTATAAGCTGTTTTGCTCTAAGAGCTCATGATTACCTTGCATTTTTTGGTCAACATCTGCTAAAGCCGATTTGTCCTTAAACCTGGTATTTAATCTCTCGTGTATATTACAGAACAGCAGGTTCAGTTCCTTGGTGTGTCGGACTCAAGCCCCACGTTACGTTAGAACTTCACACTGAATCGTGCTTACAAATGCAAATTAACTTCCACGTTTAGTGAACTTTCACCAAGTAGCTGCTAGCTGAAATGCCCCCACATTTTACACGGTACTTCAGTTCTCATGCCAACAGAAGGAAGGAGTTACTAATACAAACCGAAGCATCACCAACTTAATCCACAGCTGCACATTACGTTAAGATTTTTACCTGGAAAAAAATGCTTTTCTTGTCACAAAACTGGATGACCAAACACCACCATCAGGACTGTCAGGAAACCAATTCCTTCCACTGACTTGCAGTCCCATTCTTTTCTTCAACAACAACAACAAACTTTGCGTGGTTGCACTTACTGTCAAAGAATAATACAGCATCTGCAGAGGCGCTGTCCGCTCCCTCCTACCGAAGGAGGGGGAGTTACTGGAGCAAAGTAAGCATGAACTTTCACGTGAGGTAGGTGAGCCTGCGGATGAAAAGTCTGCATTATAATGGGAGAGAAATAAACATAACTAGTAAAAAGAAGCAGTACGCCTCAATTACTGCCAACAGGTCAGCTCTCATTAAGATTGGTTAGCTACGAAGAAACCATCTATACGCTTGGTACTATCCAAGCTGTCTTCTCCTGACACGTAATTCTCACGTCCCATCCAGCGAAGGCATGCTGACGTCTGGGCACTCACCTGCTCAGGGTTCCCACTTATTTCCCAGTACAGCACCGATCAGCCTGGAGAGCCCTCTATGAAGAGAGGCGTGTGTTCTGCTGCAGGGGAGAGATGGACCCCTGGCTACTGCAGAGAAACTCGTCTGTGTCTTGTCTCCCATATTCCCTGCTTCTCTCATCCTAGAAAGCAGCATGGAATAGAACAGGGCATCTGCCCTCGGTAACCGCTATCAGGGATGAGCTTTCCAATTGCAAAAGTGTTTGGACACGAATCTGGGATACGAAGCTGCAGACGAGTTGTAACAGTACGGCTAAACGCTGCCCCCCCAAGGTAGGCGGTCCCTGACCTAACGGGGGAGGTACACGGAGAAGAAGAGTTTGTGGCTGGATTCCAGGGCCTAACGGCCCTACAGCCCATTAACTGAAATCTCCACGCAGATGGTTTACTATTGGCACTGCGTATTAACGTGTATTTTAGGAGAATTAAAGAACGCCACTACACAATCCTAAAAACACAGAAGCCTGTATTTGAAAAAATACAGAAAGCAGAAGAAAAGCACTCGCCATTCCAACAGCAAAAGTGTCATGAGTTATAAACAGAATCGGACAATTATGACGGCTCATATAGAAAAGCTATGTTTAGTCCCTAGAGATGGGGACCTAGCAGAACAACGTTCAGACTCTCTTTTTCCATCCTCCCTTGCCTGGGACATCTGCAGGATTCATACAATCTCAGGCAGTATCAACAGCTCGGGCATTCCCGCCAGAGCAAGTCAGCAAACACGTACTCTGATTCGTTTGATTCCAGCTCGTGTGACTTGCTGACAGTCATACAGCTCAATTCTCTCCAAGTTGTGGCAGTTCTCCAGGTGTTCCAGAGTCACGTCAGTGATGAGAAGACAGTTATCAAGCTCCAGGACCTGCAGCCTCTCGTGACCACACGTACTGTTGCTCAGATGAAGAATCCCATCATCAGTGATCAATTCACAGTGAGATAAGCTCTAAAACGGAGAGGCAAACAGTTAACGACATCACTCAGTCCTAAGTTACTCTATCCTCTAAACCTCAGAAGTCCTCTTCAACCTCCTTTGTTCTAGTGGTTAAACAGTTACAAAGAGCGTACAGCTGAAATCCAGAAGAATAACAAAAGAAACGGCTCTGCTTAACAAAAGGGCTGTACTTTATTTTTAACTTTGCTTCAAAACAAGTAGAGTCCCAAAACAAGCATCGCCGGCAAACTCCTCAGGCCCCTTTGCTCTCTATGAACATGGAAATTCTGTGCCAATTGTCACGCACCTCCATTACCAATGGGTGCAAACAACACCTGCCACGCCAGAAACAGGAGACAACTTTAAAGGACGATCAAGAACATATAGGAACAGATGAGGATCTACTGACAGGAGTTACTGTTTCACAGCTACCACATTTTCATACATACCGCCAGGACCAAGCCTGTGCAAGTCCACACAGATAAAGAACGATCAGACTGGACTTGATCTGCCAAATGATGATTTCAGGAAAACCGTGAGCGCTCAGCATCCCAGGCTGTACATACAAGGAGTAATAAACATCTTGTACAGCTGCAGGAGCAGGTCTTTTCTGCAACAGTCAGCATAACAAACTAAAAAATTCTGCTTCTCTTTAGCTTATTTTTTTACTCCCTTGAATTTCAAGAGCATGGAAGAAGTTGCAGCATCTCAGGCAGAGGCACCACATAAAGCAGTTTCCTGGTTCCGTTAGGGAATTCATGACTTCCAGAGAAGCAATGATGATGACGACAACAGGAAACAGACTTTCCTCGGAGGGGGCTTAAAAACCACTGTTTGTCACCAGTGAAATGAATGCTCTCAAGTCTTCTGCACTAGAAATGTGCAGGATCTATGAACTCTTACTACTCTCGCCCTGGGCTCTGAGCGAGCTCCCTGCTTTCTGCTCAGCCCTGTGTCTTGCCTGTTCTTGTATCTAAGTCTAATGGTGACTGGTTCTGAAGTAGCATTTCCTTGCCACAAGTATTTTTCAGACAGCAACTGATGAAGAAACACTTGCAGCAATCCAAAAGCCCTTTTTAACGCTGCACAAGCTAACAGTAGTGCTCAAAAGTACCTTCTGCCAATCATCTGAATCAAACAAGTAATCCTTCCCTTCTCTGGGTACAACACATCTATCTCCTTTTACTTCAGCCTGACAAGGAAGCTTGAGGACTACCAACCATGGCTTACCCTCATTTTACCTCAGCTAGAGTCACGAGCATTTCTTGCCTGCTACCAGACACACAGGGTCTGTCCTGCCCTTTAGAGCAACTTGCCCCTCAACTTTTTTTCACCTTCGCTGAACAGGATGAACAAGTAACCAGAGAAGAGGCTGGGAGACAGGTCTGCAACTCCCCTCGGGTTTGATGAGGAGCCACCCCGGCAGCTTCCCTTCAGCTCCAGCTGGTCCAACTTTACTCACTCACCGAGTGTGAGCAGCTGGCAGTGACTCCAAGCAACACCACAACTGGGGCACACGGTCTCCAAAAGGCAACAGAAATGAAGCGCTTGCCCCTATCAACAGCGTTTTATCTTATGACAGTTTACATTCTGCAAGTCTATCAACTCTTCAAATATTTAAGCTCCCTCCTATACCTACTTTCTTTATGTACGTGTTCTGAGCATTTGATTTGGCTCACAGCCTGGAAACCATCAGCAGTTGCAGGGTTAAAGAACATTTATAATAGACCTGCTGTTTCAAGGAAGGACAGGAGGTTATGTGAAGCTGTCGGCTACAGCAGCAGTCTGCTGGCTAATTAAGAGTTTTCTGTCCCAGGAAGTAAGCAGCTTATAAAATCAGCTTTCCTGAGACACTGTATTTGGTGCTGAAAGGACAATACAGGATGTACAGCTGAGTTCACAGAACTTTGTAAAACAAATATGCCAAATGATACATACTTTGTATTAAATGACATGATTTTTCTGACTTCATAATCCTGTTAGAACATGTTAATAATGTGGAATTTTACGAAGACAATTGCTTGAAATCTTTAGAAAAGAGAGATAGGGTCAAATTTGTTTTTTTGTTAATACACACTAAATGCTGTGTATAGATCAAATATGGCATGATATACTGTGACGGTAAGAAACAGTATGACCAACTTCACTGAAGAATTCAATTATTTTCTCATCTCCAGGAATATCATGAGTATTTCACAGTTTCCTCTAATAATTTGAATGTACAATTATTAAAACACTTTCACCAGAAATTACGTCTTAAGTCCAGTAAGTAATAAAGCATTTGAGTGCTCTGATACTGATGAAGATGTAACAGTTATAATTGGTCTAACAGTGCTTTTGCTTATTTCCACCATCTGCTGAGTCTCCAAACACCAAGAAACAAATTCAAAGTTGATTTCTGCAACTCCAAAATATTGGCTTAAACTGCAAATATACCTAAACATATGGTAAAGCACAGCTACACAAGAGTTCACAGAACCATCAACAGTACGTGATTTCACATTTGAAGTATCAAGATGAGTTCACGTAGGGTATTCGGCACCTGCTAGTCTGTTTCTTCTTTCCTTGTAATTCTCAGCCATCACTGTTCACTCACAGTCTTTGAGTATGTATCCTTCCCACACACAGGATATACACATCAACAAAAAAGATATATTTTTCTGGTTCCCTTAGAAAAGGTATGTTATTTTACCAATACCACACTTCCCCGTCCATGGGCTAACACACAGAGGCCAGCAAACAGGAGCAGGTTGAGAAAAATACTTGAAAGTTAGCAGGTTTTATGATATCTCTGGTGACGCACTGGTGGAACTGGTATAAAAGATCTCTTGCAAGTACTGGTTACGGTTGGGGTTACAATACGAAAACACATCTGTCTTAAAAGAACAGAAAGTGTCCCATATAAATGGCTCTACATCTCCTGACAACTCTTGTTTGGCTTAACATTAAGAATTATGGTACAGAAATGAGGTTGGACAATTAACAAGCAAAAATAAAAAAAAATAACAATAAAAAAAATAGTGAAGAAGCTCCTTTTTAAAAGCCATCTCTCCTCATGTTGCTACCTTAGTAACACTGAGTAAGTAACACTAACCAATCATAAGACAATTTAATTAATGAAGCAGCAAACCTTCCTTTAATCCCATCTAAGAACAGATTATAAAGATACTTGTTCTCTCAGGTACATTTGAAGTAGTATGTAACAAATCTACACTTATGGTACAATTGGCTCTAAAGACAGGAGCCTCTATTGTAATGACGATCTAGTAATTTTGGAGTACCTTGACTGAAGAACAGCCAAATTTATGTCGCCTGAAATGGTTTCTGATGTTCTGAAAGATCTAAGCAACCATTCCCTAAAAACCAGTTCTTTGAAATACAGTCAGCAGGGTACCCCACTGAAGGCACCTCAATCCTCTCCAATTACGTTCAAAAGTCTAGGTCAAAAAAATTTCCATAATTTACTATGTAAATGTAGTCCTTGGGAAAAACTGCTTGCATGCAAAACTGATTACAGAGTGATTACATTTATCTTCACTGGGTGGTTTTATTTATTCAGTATTTGACTTAGAACATTCTTCTCCCTAAGATAACCATTAGTGAACACTTAAGAGTATCTATAAAGGTCTGAGTACTGTTAGTTTCCGATGGAAAGTTTTATTTTAACTAAGTAATCAAATATGAAGGATGTTAACCATAAAAAATAAGCTTTCTGGTTATTACTCACTGATTTGGTAATATTTTTTATCACAATGCATGTAAATATTTTAGGAGTAACCTGCTTCTTTTAGAACACTTATGAAACTTGCATATATTTTGCACAGTGTCATACTACCTCAGGAACTTTTTCCAGACCCAGAGCAAACAGCTCGTTTTTACATTGAAGGAGTTGTGCACATGTGTGGTTTTGGAGGTATGTATTAAAGTTCACAAATAAAAAGTTAAACTTACCAATGCTTGTAGCTTAGGACAGTGTATAGAAAGTTGTATCAATGTGCTGTCAGTTATCTAGAAATAAAAGAAACCAAACAACCGTAAGCAACAGACAGCAGGAGGGCCAACCCTCGGATAGGATCTCTCTCTACCAGATGAAGGTTCTGTTATTTCTGGAAAACACCCAATCACCTGTTGCTCTTCAAATATTTCCCCGTATAGAATTTCCCAATAGTTATTTTTATTTACTATCATAAACACAGCACTATTAATAAAAAACAAAGCACATTTAACTGAAAGTGCTAATGTTCTTATCGGCACTGCATTCTTACACTGGACATTCAATATTCCTTTTCATATTAAATCTCACCAAAACACATTCTTCCAAGTCCATCTTCTCCAGCTCGTGGCAATTCTAAAATAAACAAAAATCAAACAGATAAACAAAAGACAAAATAAAACAACATATAGACATAAAATCATGCACAGGGCTAGTAATATGGGAAAGCACAGCTTCCAAGAGGAAATTGTGAGCTAAATCCCTTCAAGTATTTGATCACCAAAGGACAAAAAATAGTAACAAAACAAAACAAAACAAAAAAAAATCCACAAGCAACACACCTCCTCCCCAAACCTCTACATTTTCAGCCTCTCTCTTACGTAGTGAAGTTTCTCCTCCGTGCCCTGTAAGGTTTGGAACAGTATGTATAGGATCAGTACTCACTCACCCCTGCTTCCCGTCCCCCTCTTGGGGTCGATTTCAATTCAAACCTATGGTATTTACAGCCTCTGCACTAAAGCCAACTAATCTGCATACAGATGAATCCAACTAATCTGAAACACACTTAAGCCTGTGAAACATCTCTCTTCACCATCATACTTTAGAAAGAAGCCTTAAAAACAATTTGCTTTGCTAATGAATGCTGAAAATATTAAAATAGGGTCCACTTTAAGGCTGGGAGAAAGCTGCACTTCACATTTATACAAGCAATTTTCCCAGTATTCTGAGAGATCCCTAGCAAGCTTTTAGAAGTGCTTTCAATGACTGATCATGACTAATTTCAAGAAAATGATGTAACCTTGTGACTTCGCAGCAGATCACATGGTGCCACGGCTCAGCCCAAACCCCAAACCCTGTTATTTACAGGCATATGAAAAAATGGTGTAACTTGCAGCTCCCAGAAGCAGGCTTGAGGTGACTACCGAAAGCCCAAGGCTGTAGTCCTGAATGATTAGAAAAATCACTCGGTTTAACCACTGTGGCTAGAAAAAACTTTCATTCACACTAAATATCAGTAGTGTAAATGAACCCTGTTTACAGAGTATTATTTTTGTGTTCAGATTTCCTAAACCAGCAAGCATACAAGCCTAACTTGAAGCATTTTATACAATCTATATGCTTACTTCACATACTTACAGCATGAATCAGGGCACAAGTGCTTATAGTTTATAATGTACAGTGTAAGTATTTTTGTAACTTAAAGGTATGCTCAGAATAATCTATTACATGGTGATTTTTGGGGGTGTAAATATCACAAGGGTATGTGTCATCTTTATAGGGGAAATTTGGCTAGAATACATAACACAAGTTTAGAATTATGTTAAGCATAATAAATCCAATTGAAACATACTAAAAAAAGGGGGGGGGGGGGGAAGTGAAAAATGCAATGATAGATGGCAAAATAGATCAAGTGGCAGCTCTAAGTATAATCCAGAAATAAAATCACTTTTTAGTCCCCTCCTCCACTGGGTTCTTCCTACTTTATTTTTCTTCTTCTCATATTCCTTCCCAGCAGGACTACATCAATTCACGGCTGCTCAGCAGCAATGAAAACAAGGCAAGCTCCAACCTTCTGAAATGACCCTTACCCGTGCTAGAAGGGTAAAACCAGCATCTGTAAGATGTGAACATCTTGCAGCTTCCAAAATCCTGGAAAAGTTTTAGATGTTAAAGAAAACGTTAACGTAGAGAAAAGCAAATGCATTTGAGATACAAATTTGTCTTCTGCAACTTAAAGCTCTCAATAGCAAATGTACATATAAGCCTATTTTTCACAGTAATTTGCAATTAAAAAGCACTAAGCAGACTTTTGATCCAGCTTATCAGAAGACTCTAATAGTCACAGAACACATTAAGTTCAATCCTCAAATCTTCTCAACACTTAGTGGAAAAAAATTATACATAATTATAGGCCCTTTGACCTCTTTTTTCAGTGAGACAGCACAATGCTCAAGTTTTCTCATGTGTTATCTAAGGAAAGAGATGGGAGAATAAACCCTGAGTTAAGGAAAATGCAGATGAAGCCCACATCTAAAACCTGTTATCTAAACACAGGATGCTGGGAAGCCACAAAACTGAGAAACTGCTTACTAGAAATGCACTCAGAGCCTCTGCATGAAGCACAGTGAAGCAAGTTACTGAAAAGCAAGGAGCTTAAATTCTCTAAGCCCGCAGTAAAGACAATAAACTACACCAACACAACCTTAAAGAAAATAACACAGTGTTTTGGAAAGATAAACCTAACACTCTTGAGAGGTACTGGGAAGCAGTACTGACAAAAAAAGGTCAACTGCCCCAAACAGCACCACTAGTACATAGAACAGGCCTCCATCCCGTAACTGCTTTTTTGTCATCGTTTTCTTTTTCTTCTTTTTCAATGAACACTTTTTACTTTGCAGGTGGAGTAAGTATCAAGATGAATAAGGGGAAATCACAGCACTGTGCAATGAGAAGCACAAAGTGCCACTTACCCACTCACCACTTACCCACTCACCACAGCAAACACTACTTCTATACTGGGGTCGGTGGGGGAGGAGGCAGGGCAAGATGGACAAAAGAACCTCTTGCTGTGGTACACACTTAGAGGCATCTAGATCCTTCCACTGGTTTAGGAGGTCATTAGAAAGCACCCTCTCAATGGATAAAGTGCAAAGGGAAAAGCCATGCTGCATGCACAAGAAAAATACAACCCCACCAGAGTAGGGGATGTGGGGCTCTGACTGTAACTTTGCTGGATCAACCTTTTCCAAGCCAAAAGCAAGATCGCAGCTGAGTTTAGAGGTAAGCAGCCCCACAGGCTACACCCTTGATAACCACTTCCAGAGTGCTAGTCTTCAACGAGGTTCAGAAGTATGATGGAAACTCAAGAGCAGCCAACAGAGAGGTGGCAAGACAGGTACTGCTTTCCAAATGGACAGTCCGGATTTTCTTTCCGGACTCACATTTGGGAACTTCGTGCCCTTTGTGCCCTTCCATCAAGGGCAGTTAGCAACCTACCATAAAATACTCTCAGCTACTCTGAAAATTACCTAGGATGCTGGATAGGAAAGGGAAAAAAACCACCAGCAACACCAACAAAAAAAATTATTCAGGTCACATGTTACCCTTATGTCATTTACTTGCTTTCAACTCTATCTACACTTGCAACCATTGGATCCCTAACCTCATTACATTTCTGACTTTAAAGGGGGGGGGGGAATTACATCCGCAGCGTGCAAAAGAGTGAGGATGCTACTTACTGCACATCTCGTTGAAAATAATATGGAAACAGGGGAGTAAGAAACCAGAAGGAAGCTCTAGCTTTCCTGAAATTGGGTGTGCAGTCAGTCAGAAAAGCAGAATGGGGAGAGTGAGCTATATATACACACACTGCATCAATCAGGTCCCAGTATGAAAAACAGGTGGGAAGGCACTGGTCAGCATGAACATGAGCAAAGTTCTAATTTTTGCTTTGTTTTAGTGATCGTACTTAATTACAGAGGGCTCTTCTTTTTTCCAGATACAGCTGACATTTATTTCCCATCCAGTGATTCGTGACAAAGTACCTAACGTAGGAGCTGATGAGGCAAAACGACATCCCAGAGCAGATTCCCCACTCTTATAAAGCAATGTTCTCTGAGACAGACCTCACAGTTGCATTCACTGTCTACAGATGTCTTTTGGGCACACCTGGAGTGTCTCTGCACACAGCACCTCCCTACTCCTGTTGAATTAGCAGCAGGTGGTCTCAACACTGGTGGGATTAAAAGCAATATGATCCTAATTTTCACAGTCCCACCTAGACAAAGACATCCATGGTTCATGAGTGCTTTTCTCGATAAGCCTCACCAAAACACCTACTAGTATTTTAACACTAAAAAGTGCTAAAAAACAAAAACAGAGAAGGTATCAAGCACTTATATGAGCAGATATAAAAAGGGATGAGGACGCAGCTATATCTTGATGTAGGGGGAAAAAAAAACAGCTGAAGGGAGTTGGCCAAGCTTAGGATTTTTTTTCAAGATGTCATTTGTGAGTGGTAACAGCTGCAGAACACAGCGATATCATGGAAAGCAGCAGAGTAGGACATCCAAGACCCTGAAGTGAAGTGAGAGTAGCACAGCACAGAAAATGCTCAAAAGCTTCCTAACAGGGCCAGCACATCCAACAGAGGCAGGAGAGTTTTCTTTCATACTCAACACCAAAATATTCAGAAGGTATGAACAAGCGTGGAATTACATTTCCCTTTGATTTCCAACATAACTTTTATCAAGTACTTTCCATACATGATCCCAAAAGTTTAACTGTAACCAGCTGCATCATCTGTCTTTCCACCACGCAATTCTCTACAGTGATCACTGCAAAGGGTCATTTTTGTCCTTATACTGGCTCCTCATTAAAGGAGAAGAACGGCAGACGCCTTCCCCCTCGTGGCACAGACAGGGGCTAACAGTTTACCTACCAAAGTCAAAACAATTCCTGCTACAGCTGTACTACCCTTGGAAAGAAGTGCACAACTAATAGCACTTTAGACCTCCTTTTATTTCAAATCTGAGCTGTGAATTGAGAGAATGAGAGAAATGGTGGAAAAAGACCAGTAATAACAGCACAGCTTTCTAAGGAACACAATTAAGTGTGTCAGAAGACTCTTCAGCCCCAAACATGGGCACACGTAAGCTCTTCTAAGTATGAACCGTTACATGAAGGGGACTGTCACTCTGGAATTGTCTTAAGGACAGGTCTTCTACAGTAACAAAAGCTCTTTGTCACTCAACCAGCTAAAGAAACACTGCGTGTCAGCATACTGCACACTGGCATTTGAATGTAGCTCCCCCTAATTTTTACGATCTACTTTCCTCCATTTATCCGTGATTGAAGTATAACAAGTTGCGGCTCCTGCACATCCTGTCATAAATGGCAATTTCGTGTCATCCAAAAATCTTTTTTTTTTCCATTTACATTAAAATAAGACCTCACAAGAAGTATTATGTCCCTACAACCAGAGAGCTGCTGCATGACTGAGCTTCATTATGAAAGCTGAAGCTGTCCCCGCTTCTGAGAATACCGACATAACATATGTTAGCACAAATTACATCAATGTAAAAGTTTATATTATTTTTAACTGATGAGCCCCTATTACTCAAAACGTATCCCATAAATATCAGTCCTCGGTGCTTGCAGAGACATTAGCACACTCCATGTCAGAGTTTAAGAATGCCAGGATGTACTGCAGAGCACATTAAAAATACATTTATAATAAAATCTGTAAACATAATAATCAGGTATGATTTAGCTATTTTTTTGCGAGACAAACGACTGCATAGAACCACATCAGAGTACAAACATCACAAGACACAACACAACTACAGATATTTTTACCTTCTAAAAAAATAACAGGCTTTATATCTTCTTTTCTTCTGGCTTGTAGTTAGTACCTAAAATATTTAGCTAGAAGCACAGAATTGAACTGCTAGGTTCAACATGTTTTATTTGTTATATATTAATTCTTGTTTTTTTCAACATACAGTGGACCACATTCATATGCTAACTACAGAGGACCAGCCCTCAAGTTTATATTCAGCTGGTACTTCTAACTTACTGTTTCGATTGCAAAGGTAACACAAACAACACAAAGCTAAATCAAACCTGTGGATATAAGCTGATTATCTTCAGAAGTGAATTTCTTAGATCAGGCCAGTAACAACATGACATACTCATGACACGCTCATGACATACTTACTTCAGCCTTGGACAGTTTAGACCAAGTGCTGTGAGAGAAGCATCTGTAAGGTTGCTACAGCCTGAAACACAGAGCGACTGAAGTCGATGACATCCTCTACAGATTTTTACAATGCCTTCATCTGAAATTTGCTGCAACACAGAAGAAAGTTGAAGTTACTTCGTTATCAAGTAATCAGCTAAGAACAAAAATCAAGTCATATTACTAAACTTAGGGTCACATTGTATATAACCATGGTAACCTGTGGATCTTCAACCAAAAAATACCATCGTGAAACCATGTTCATTGATAACACTGAAGATAATAAACACACACAATTCCTGCTTATCTATGCATTTTTCCACAGATCTCGAGTACTGCTCAAAGGCAGTCAGAAGCACAGAGGGAGAGTTGTTTGTTGTCGTCTTCCTCTTTCACTTTGCTTTTGCTTTATAATTTTCACTTTTTTTTTTTTAATTATAGTTGTCTTTGTGTGAAATAGCTTGCTGCTTGTATGTTTCTAGAGTTCAGGTCTTTCATTCCAGTGACTGTTTAAGTTCAGGAACAGTGCAAAAGAGAGCTTAAAGCTCAACAGCAGGAGCGCTAAGTACCTATTTTGCACTGGAGCAGTAGAACCCAAGGGTAAAACTCCTTCACCTCCAGATAATTTTCAAAGCAAGAGTTACAGGTTAACAGTTACATATAATCCGTTCTTTACAGAAGACAAATGTAAAAGCCAGGTTTGCCCTACCCTATGCAGTTGTCTCTAGAGCTGAAAGTTTTAACTCAAAAGAGGGTTCTCCATTTCTCAAAATTGTTTTGTACTAGATATTCTGAAAAAAGTAACTCTAAATTTGGAATACGAATCAAAAAGTTTTCTCTCTGAAACAGGAACTATAAGAAACAGGCCCAATGCAGCTGCACCAAAATAGCAACAGGAACTAGGTTATTGGGTGTGTGCAAATATTTTGTTTACAGGTCTTCTATTCTGGAAAAAATATTCTCTCCTCCTCCCACTCCTAACTCCAAGAATTTAATTTTTCTGCTGAATGACTAATCCTTCATGGCGAAACAGGTTTTTTTTATTTGCTGGCCTAACATTACTCTTCCAATGATAACAACGACCTCTACTGTATTTTCAATTCAAAATACACTTTCCTTTTATAAGCCACTCATCTAGGTATGCTAATACTACTATAGCATATTTCTGAGTCTATTACCACAAACATTACCTTTCATAGATGGAAACAGGATGAAAAATAGCAGTAGCTCAACACAAAGGGAGATCACCTTATGCCCCCTCCCCCAACCCAGCACTTTTTAATATCAGTAGTTTAAATTTGCAAATCGTCTTGTAAAATAAAAATTATTCCAGACGTCGTCTTTTTTTGTGGATCCAGAAGGATATGCATCATTTACAGATAAGATGATGTTTTCTGGAACTGTTTTGCTCCCTTTGAGAGATACTCATGACACTATTATTGGGAAAAGGAACTATTTTGGAGGTAAGGAATACGTAAATTTTATGCTGCTGCTGGAGATGGAGAAAACCTTCAAGTTACATATGAAAATTTTCCATTCTGAAACCGCTTGTGATTTCAATGCCTACATCCCTCTCAGGAAACAAAAGTGCTCAGAAAATGCCTGCAAGTCCCCGGTTTCTACACTCTAAAGATGGTACCCTTCAGATGTGCAGTTTCCAGAGCTAGTATCAGTTCATTCCATAGCTGCTGGAGCTGGCCTGGCATTTTACAAGGCCCATAAAACAGAGCCACCAGAATTAAAGTGTGGATCATAAAAAGCACAAAGAGACCTGCTGTGTAAAAATCAGTGCTAGCCCATAAAGGTCATAAAAAGCCTGGCTGCTTCTGGAAGCACACTTCTAAGCCATAGCAAGCAGGACACATCTCCAGTGAAATAAAGCTTTAAAGCACACATAACTAGGTAGGACACACAGACTATCAACTCAAAAAATTCAAAGGGAAAAATACTTTCACTCATGAGGATTTTTTTGTTGGTACTTCATATCTACGTGACAATAAACATACTGGCCAAGGGAAAACTGGTACACTTCTATGCCAATGCCCCTTTAAGCGAGAGAGATCATAACTGATTATCAGCAGACCTCTTGAGAGCCTTCCACAAAAACAATCAGAAAAGGCTGGCCTTGATATATCTCATTAGTCTCAGGTAAAACACAACAGAAGAACAACTTTGGAGGAGGAGGACAGCAAAAGGAAGAGCGAAAGGGGAGGAAATTATGTACTGACATTATTTATTAAAGTGTGGTTCTGACCAAAAGAAGGAACTTCCTTTCATTCCCGTTATCTTTAGGTGCCCAACTTCAGTGGGCACCTAAATTCAGATTGAAAAATCTGAAAACTCTCTTTCGCTAAACATCTGGCTCATGGAAGCTCAAGCTTTGTCTTCATATTGTTCTTAATTTCTGCAATTTTTTAATGTAACTTTTAATAATCCCCAACACTCCAAAATGTTCAACACTTTAAAGAAATCTATTAGGTTCAAAAATTTTCATCCAATCTTAATAAAAAATGATCCCATACCACATTCATTCAGGAATAATACGTAAAACAGATTTGAAAGTTTTAGCCCAAGCAGATTTTATGATACCTTCTAGCAATAAAACTGTAGAAAACTTTCCAAAAGCAAAAAAAATAATCTAACTTCATTATTTAAATTTGCATGACTGAAACACTGAAATTCTTATTTATGTCAATATTTTCTAAGTCTTATTTACAGACAAAGAATGACTTAAATAGATTTAAAAATCTAAAAGGAGATCTTTCCCATTCCTAAAAAGTCACATCAGAAACAACAAAAAAGCAAATATAAAAGAACAGCAAGTCTAATTTTTGTGTACTCTCTACGTAGAATTAAAAGTACATGAATGATTCCCAGTCATTTCATTACAAATGAATGTGTTCTTCCATTACTGTTGAAAAAGCGTGCCCTTCTCCTGCTACCTAGATGGTTCTGATTCATCTTCAGTTATGATGCCATTACATTTTACTCTCAATTATGTAGGCCAGAATATTGTTTCTGCTCAATTAGAAACCTTAAAGTTATGAATAGAGCAAAATGTTTGACCTTAACGGATGGGAGAACAAGAACTACATCTGTAAAACTGCATGGTTAGCGCATACACAGTTCATGAGATTTGAATGAATGCAGTTAATTTTTACTCTAGAGCTTGCTACAGTTAAAAGATGCAATGAGGGGAAAAAAAAAATAACCCAACGCTCCAAATCCACACTCAGCTGTAGAAACAGCCAGCTCACTTAAGACCTCTATTCCACCCAAGATTCTGTAAACTGCAGAGATGTATTATTTGAATTATTTAAGCATGTAGCAGACCAATTCACTAGCATTCAAAAATGGTTTATGATTCTTAGAGAATGTAACTTTTGAAGCTTCAAATACTTACTGTACAGGATTGCAAATTCAGGATTACAAGTTCATGACAGTGATTTTGAATGTGTTTCAATGCTTCATCTTCTAACTGTATTTAGCAATTAAATCAGACATAGGAAAAGAAACAAGAAATTAAAAGCACAGCAAAGCAGCCCAAAGAATGTACACATCTTGTAATATTGAACAAAAGACAATAACAAAAAAGGTATTTTTTAATTCATGGAGATTTCAAAAACCCAAAATAAAATTTTATTCCTAAAGGATCACCCAAGCAGTTATGTACCTGTGTGCAACCTCTAAGAAATAGAGCTTTTAGTCCACTACACCCTTTCACCAGTGCTTCAATACCATCCTTCGTAACCTGATCACACCAGGAAAGATTCAAATGTTCCAGATTTCTGCAACCCTCACTGGGAGAATTAAAAAAAAAAAAAAAAAGTTAAATCCAGCCTTCAAATAGTCATAACAATGGGAAACGCAAATTAAACACACTGTTAGAAATTAATAATAGCCAGTGGACTGTGCCAGGCCTTCACAGAAAAGTCACAAGAAAAGACCACACACAAACGTCATAGTCTACACCCAAGAAGTGCTAGATACAGGATACAGTCAGTGCTGATACACAGTATTAAGGTTCAGCACTGATTTTTTTAACTTTATTAAATGTTGAACAGCTCTTTAAACACTTTTCTTTAGCACAAAACACTGAATCTTCTTACCTTAAGCCTTTCAGAGAGCTGTTTGTGATGGCTACGCAAGATGTCAGATCCAGATGTTTCAGCTTGGAACAGAATCTGCTAAGACTGTAACACGTGCTGCAAAACAGCAGACACACTAAAAATACCTTCAGCTACTTCTTTTTCCGAATTTTCCCATCAAACAAAAAAACCCTTTGACTTACCTGTCAGTGATTTTTGTGCACCCATTTAGATTTAAGTGTTCGATATTTCTACAGTTCTGTGCAAAGGTCCTAAAACAGCAACAAAAAGCTGGAGAATTAATATAATGTCACAAGTTGTAATACAGTCACTAGAGTGCGCTCTGTCCCCTACCTCCTTCCACCTCAGTCAAAAAGCTTAATCTTCAAGCCACAGAGTAATTACAAAGTACATCTCAAATACATCTGTCTCAGTGGTTGCTTTTTCCTTTTGCTATTGCAAGTTTCTGTCTTGGGTAACTCCTGAAACCAAGTGTTTTTCCTCTCTCAAACACTACTTGAGCAAGGTGTTTATTTCTGTCATATGTAAGCCAGAACTGACTTGCTTCAAATGCCCTAACTAAAAACGTCAAGGGCATGAACAGAGAGGTTTAAATATCACATCAGTTAAATATTAAGCTGCTGGGGAGAGTTTTTGCACATCTCATTACTGAAGCCTTTGTAGGTCTTATTAGGGAGCTCGCTCCCACATCAAATGAAAAGGAACGTACCTTGCACAATACAGAAGTGGGACCTAAGCCTATCGGACTACTAATGGAAAGCCCTGTGGGTTGCAAATTAGTTATTTATGAGTTTAAAAATTAAAACGCATCTGTGTGCACTACTGCGTATGAACTCTAAGGATGACTGGAGCTATTATACTGCTAAAAGCCTGTATGTATCATTATACTAATTACCCAGAAGAAATACATAAACTTTCTTTTCATCTCTGCAGAGTAATATTTACAGCTGTGTTGCATTTCAGAACACTGTTTTTATGCCCATGTTTCCTCCAACTGCATGGATTTTATTGGCAAGGGTGGAGGAAACACACAAAACCAGTTTTGTCTGGAGGCTTGCCGTGGTTAACAGATCCGACTACACACTCAGCTGGTAACAACTTCCTGGCTCTCCAGTGTGGATTGAAAACAATGGAAAAAAACCCAGCAAGCAGTTATACCGGTGAGAGTTTCCACTTGAATTCTCAAAACAGCTATTCCAAAATTCATGTACTGGAGGGAGATTTACAATCGAGACACTCTTCAAATCACTTGGAAAGACGTTACACTCTGTAATAACTTGCAGGAACAGCAAACTTTGCCTCTGAGATTCAAGCATGGGGCATGTCCTGACAGAGCTGCCACATTCAGTACTTACATAGCCAATACCTACTTCGATAATTGGCTATTTTTAAACAAAAGTTGAGGTAGAAGAAGGATAAATAGAGAAATTAGTATCATCCACAAAACTAATGGATCTGAAAACAACTCAACACAAAAAGCCTGATAGGAAAAGTCACTTTCAGAACAAGTATCTGAAAATTAATGCCACCTTTCTCATGCTAATGTTTTGAAAATCTTAAAGCTCATGCATTTATCATTCATTTGGTAATTTCAATATAACCTGCTTATATTTCAGAGGTGAACCATCTTCTTTCCTGAAGTGTCTTAGTCACCACCATCTGCACCAGTTAGTTGTTACGGATGCACGTGTGAATACTGGTAACACGCTGGTAGCCCCTCTCAGTTAAGCCTGTCCTATTACCTGCTAGCATGACATCATCCTTACAATGTACACGTGCTACACACTGAACTGCTGTATACTTATTCTAAGTACCTATTTACTAAATATATAATTATTTAAAAATATCCCATCTCCAGCCCTCCCCCTCTTCTCACGTGCCACTAATACCTGAACCCACTTACGATTTTTTGGTCCTATTCACAACCCTCACTACAGTCCCCTAGCCTTAGTGTCCTGAAAAGCACAGTTGGGAGCCTAAACCAAATGTGAAAATGGAGTTACTGGAGGGAAAACTGTTACCTACTGTCCTGACTCTTTCTTCCTATACCCTTCCCATCGCCTTCCCCGCTACCTCCTCCCAAAGCTAGTTGCTACCTCTCTCTGAGCCTGCCTTCTCCCTCTCCTCCACTTCTGCTATCGCCTCCTTCCCTACTGAGGACACAGGGACTGTCAGCGTGAATGCTCTGGGAACTTGGAGGAGCACTGCAGAAAGTTAACTCTGGTTGGGGCTACCTCTTTTTTGACAGCAGTTGCCAGTAATCTGGGATATGGTAATAATACGCATTTCCCCCTAAGGAAAAGACTGCCTGAAGGTGGCGACACACCAGGGAGCAGTAGGGAGATGTCCTAGAGGCAAGGAAAGCTTTGGGGAAATCTTCGGGTCTGAAGCTGGGATGCCTATTTGGGTTACTAAAGCAATGTATTGCTTAACTAGTTGCTGGATGAATTTACTCTAGAGACAAAAATCAGTGAATTAGACTTACAAAATTTTAGAAAGAGCTAAAGGTCACAAGACACTAACTTAATGCCCACTGCTTAACAAAAATCTTTGTGCTTATATTTTCCACCTAAGAATGGCCATACTACGTCAGACTGAATGCCATCCAGCCCAGTCTCCTGTGACAGCAGAGGAAAGCATAACTGCAAAAAGCCATACCCCGAGGCTTCCTCCAAATATTCTTTGAGCCCTGAAGTACTTGTAGCTTAGGGACCCTGCAGCTGCAGGTAGGATTTTTGGGTTTAAATACTCAGAGAAATATCCACAGAGGAATCTGGCTAAACAGTTTGCATATAGAAAAAGCTTATATGGATTCAAACGATCTTCTGGGAACAAATTGCACAGTTCAATTTATATACTGTGTAAAGAAGGGCCACTGTCTCTATTCAGAGACTCACGAGATGTTCCTGTTGCCTGCCTGTTCTTGCATTAGAGCAAGAAGAGAATCTCAGGCCTTTCCTGATTTTGTAGGCACTCAATCATATCAGTCTTTATTCTTCCTCCCATTGCTAGGGTCACCTCTTGTCCAGGCTAGAAGATAAACTATAAACTGACTGACTACTAATCTTGATGAAATTAATATTGTAGGATGCCAGAGTACAGGTCTGAAAACATTTTAACTGCTTGAAAATTGAGAGATATCAACATAATACTAATGAAAGAAAAAGACACATTTCTGAAAAGCACAGTTCTTATTTCTTAGTTCATTTCCAGAAGATAACAGTAGCTATACTTTGATCTCAAACTGCCGTCTCATTTAGTCATTATTAAGGTACTTAGCACTTATTTAAGTATCCCATTTTGATCATTAGTCAGTACTTAGAAATCCAAACAAATGTAACAATAATTGCTTTTGGTCCGGACGTTAGGAAATAAGTGATGTCTCAATCTAGGACTTTACTTACTTTAAAGAGGAGTCTCCAACACCAAGACATCCTCTCAGACTAAGTTGTCTCAGGAACCCACCACACCTTTTCGATATATTTTCCACAACACGACCCTTAAACCAAATAAAAGGAAGATTTTGTTGAGTTTTATTCTGACATAACATTCTAACCAAATTAAAAATGCCAGGAGTGAAGACCAGCCCCAGCTATACCCCACCAGAACTACACCTCTTTGAATTTCTTTTGTTACTTTAAGAAAAAACAGTTACCTGTTGAGAATCTCCACTCACATTGAAGTGCTATTCAATTCAATGTTTAGCTTCCCCTTCCTTTTTTCCAGTCTATCACACATGGCTCAATTTTTCGTCTCAGCAAAACCTACCCATTAAGACTGCTAAAATGATCTTTAAGTTTTGTCAGATGTGTAGGGAACCTGAAGAACTGCCCCAAAGGCGGAATGGGAGGCATGCCCGTTCCTTAAGGATCACCGTTACTACTACAGCATGTAAGTTTAAATTGTCCACAAAGACATGCCTAAGCTAGTACGTCACTCTGAACTACAGCCTCTGCTATGTCCCGTTTTACAGTCCCTGCTGTAGGGATGGTTACCTTCGCAACTGAAAGGTGCTGAACGCCTTGGTGGGAGCAGCCACTTCAGTTGCCTCCAGAAGATTTGCCCGAGCCCACCTGCCAGTCTTCAATGTCATATATATTTGGGTGTCTGTGCCTAACACTTGGGAATGCCAAAGACCTTCTCACACTGTGAAGCTTACAGACTTTATGCCTCATTATTTGGCAAAAGCTGAAGCACAGTTTACAAACAAAACTTCCTACTTGACCCCACATTTGCTACAAAATGCTTTGTAGCAAAATTTACATCCTGAAAGCGCAGTTTGCTATACATTAGGAGTAAGCGGAATAGCACAATACTTCTAATGTTCAATCTGAAAGTAGCATTATGGAAAAGTTATTTAAACTACAATAAAAATATACCTTCCCTCCCCCTTCTTTTTTTTTTTTTTTTTAGGAAAAACAAGGTAAGATAGCAAAAAGCAGGTGGCCACTGCAAAAACTGACTAAACATCACACTGTGTCTAATTTTAGGGAGGTAAGGTAAAAGAAATCAACATTGATCATTTAACAAACAGGACTAATACCCAACAGCACATTTTCTTCTCTCTCTCTCTCTCTCTCTTTTTAAAGAGGGAATACTTATAAAATTACAGGTCAGTGGATTTTTTTTCCCCCCCTCCCTATACGAGATGGTAACAATTTTACTGAAACAGTAAAATGTTTCTTACATTTTGTTGTTCACCTCTAATACCAAAGTCCTGGCTAGCACTTTGTGAAAATATTTTCGTATCAGAGCTTGTTTCTTAGTCCATAAGTAACACTGTTCATCTTATCTCTCAGAAGAATTTACACCAAAACAAACAAGTGAAAATCATTGTACAAACAAAATGATGTATTTTTTAAAGCTTTCCGATTAGTCAGAATTATTTCTCAGTAGAGGCCAAATACCTTTACTGTAAGAATAAAGTCTTCAATGAATAACGTATAATGCAAGTTCAATCTACACTGCAGAAAAAAGCCAAAGCCTAGTGCATTATTCAAAGAAAATAGAAACAAATAATGAGATAAGTTTTCCCAAACCCATTTATTTCTTTAACCATGTAAAAAACCCCAACAAATGGCATACTCAAAAAGACAACTTCAGTGCATTCAAATGTGTTTAGCTGTTTGAATAATTCAATGTCACTCAAAAAACTAGTTCTTCAAATTACCCCAGCTTACATTTGGTTCCACATACCAAGAAATCCTAAGGCACATTTAACTTCAAGAAGATCTTCACACATCTTTGTGATAGAAAAGAAACATTTTTTCTTTACAGTTTTTCTTCCCCCCTCACTTTATTCTCTACCACATGAGGTCTTAAATACGGAAAATTTCACAACAAAACCTAATTTTTCATTATTTGATAGCATCAAGCAGTACTTGATCTGAGACTATGTGAAACACCACCAAACAGGACAACATCCAACTGAGCAAAAAGTTGCCAAATACAATTAGCAGCTTTTACCTGTCCTAAATATATAGGCAAAAAAGATATTTTACTAAAACAGCTGAAGAAAAAACAGAGTTCTTAGACACCGAATGTGAAGGTGTATCTCATTCAAAACTACTTATGTAATAGGTTGCTGGTTTAACATACTCTTATGAATAATTTAAGGGGTTTATATTACAAATGTACTTAAATATAATATACTGCAGCAACTGAATTGCTCCAAACCACAATAGCTTCTTATAGCAAAAGAGGATCATAACTTAATTTCATTCCTTCTCCTGAATCCCATGCTACAAACATAGTGTCTCTCAAAGGGCAACACCACCAGGTACAATGTAAGACAAACATAACAAAAACATAAAAATGCAATACTGTGTTTCTAAATAGCAGAAAGGTTTCAGATACAGAAAAGGCTAACCAACATAAGGACCACAGACCTGGAGGGTTTTCTTTATTATTTCTTAGCAAATGAGAAACACAAGCTTTTTTAAAGCAACTGAAAAGATTACATTAAAGCTCCAAGTCTTCTTAGACACATTTAGATAGAGGCAGATGCCAAAATCTTTCTCCTACCTCTCTAAGATCCTCATATTTAACATCAGTATAGCAGAGGAGTTGGCAATAAAATTCTAAAAAAGTGGTGAAAAAAATTTACCCTATATATTACTGTAAAGCTTTAGGAACAGTTTGAACCACGGTTAGCAAAATATACCAAATGAAACCCATCTGGATTTTATTCATGCAACTAAGAAGCTAAAACATAAAATCCAAAAGCAAATTCATTATTGTATTCTAAATTTAATTTGTATCATCAAACAACAAATAATAAACCAGTTCAGATTCAATTAAGGAACTGTATTTCCCCATGGATTTTTGTCTTCATTTTCAGATGTCATATTTTATTTTATTACGCACATCTATGATAGCATTAATGCAGACATGTTTTTCTTATGGAAGACAAGACTGCCCTAATCCTTTCATTATATGCTGAAAAGGACTTTAATCCACATGTACCTACATTTCAGGCAAGGTTCAAACCTTATGAAACAAATGTTCATAAAATGGTAATCAGATACACACCAAACATATCTAGGCAAGTCAGCAGTAAGAAAAGTTGTTCAGCATTTTATTGTTTCAATCTCCAAGTCCTATAGCCAAGTGTCCAGAGAGCTTTCAGCACTAGATGGCACCCTCACAAAGAGACTCAGGACCACCAACAAAATTATCCTCTAGATCGTGAAAGTGATTTGGAGGATCTCACTCCACCCAGAGGCACCATTTATACCTTTACTTTCTGGAAATGAGCAGCTTTGAATTTCTAGAGCCCAGCATGCATATGATACATGCAAATTATCTGATACATAGCTGGCAACCAAAATTGAAATACTCATCCAGTGTAAAAAAGAAGTCAAATAGAGTTCTTTATCTATTCGCTCCTTCACAGTATTATTATCTCGAACTTTAGCCTTTAAAACATGTAACGCAAGCACAGTCTATGGGATACTCAAAATGGGCTATGCTCTTAAACATCACCATAGGAATGAAAAAAACCCAAAGACACTAACCTCTATATCCGTTTGAAAGTTAAAGAGGTCTATTCTTTGCCAATTGCTTCCATCCAGAGCTAAAACATTCCATGCCTACAGAAAACAAATACAGTTGATTTATTACCTCCAATGCCTGCTTCCTTCATTTGCCGCTCAGCAATTCAAATATAACAAACTCAAATATAACAAAATATACAATTTCAGGTAGCATTTTTAAAAAAGAAATATAATTGTAGTTATTAGTAGTCATACAATATCAACTAGTTAAAAACATAGAATTTGTGTGTCCTGGTCTCGGCTGGGATAGAGTTAATTTTCTTCCTAGTAGCTGGTACAGTGCTGTGTTTTGGATTTAGGATGAGAATAATGTTGATAACACACCGATGTTTTAGTTGTTGCTAAGCAGTGCTTACACCAGGTAAGGACTGTTCAGCTTTCCGTGCTCTACCAACCGAGAAGGCTGGAGGTGCACGAGAAGCTGGGAGGGGGCACAGCCAGGACAGCTGACCCAAACTGACCAAAGGGATATTCCATACCATGTGATGTCATGCTCGGT